CGCTAGGCATTATAAATAAATTTATTATATTTTGATTGAATCATATATCTCGATTTAGCCATCCCTCGCGACGCAAGCAGTGGAATTGCAGAAAATTCATTGCCTGCAATATCTGCATCTGCCGATGCGTGAAGTTCATGAGGGCACGTGCAATAGCTGGCAGCCTGTGGTAGCGCCGCTGAATAGTGCCATAGGTGGTCCTTAATCGGTAGTAGCAACGCTTGACTCTTGCTACTGTAACTAAAAAATAAATACATATTTTTTAATAATATTATATTTTAAAGCGAGGGAGGACTCGATTTACGCACGCTCAGGAAAGCAAGCGTACTTGAAATTTCGTCTTGCACATGCCGTATTGGAAAATTAAGTTAGATACATGTGCGAGAAAGTGATTTTGACCTTATGTGGCCTATTCACCCTCGATTTGCTTGGATACAAACGACCACACGGTCATTCAAATCACTTTCCCGCACTAGTATTAAAATATAAATTGCACGCTTATGCTGTCCGACCGTGCGTACGAATCGAGTCCTCGCGCAAAATGAAATAAAATGTTAAATAAGATGCACGCGGTCAATTCTTACCATGATTGATGATATGTGGGTGCGCTCGGCGCACAACTCTGCTGATTTTTCGCCATGCTCGGCGCCGCCTTCGCCAATTTCCGTACTGCGGGTGGCTGTGATGTTCGTATCACTTATAAATAAAATAATTCGAACTCTCGTAAACTAGCTAATGAGTAAGAATTTGTTTCCGATGATTTTACTCTAATTGTCAAGAGAATAGATAATGAATCAAATATAATAAATAAGTAAATCAAATATACATAAGTAATTGCAATATATCTAGGAAAGTCAGACAATGCCCTAGTTTCTTATGGTGCGAATTGTCCCATAAGCAGAGCTAAAGTCTTTCTTTGATAGGATATAATTCGAACCAAGTTTCTTATAGCGCGAGATGTTCTATAAGTCGAGCTCAAATTATAAGGAAAGGTTAGTCTTGCTTAGTTAATCACAATGAGAGAAAGAACTTAGGTGTTAATCCAAGTTTATTCAGACTCATGCGCTCACCTTGCAAGGCTAGAAGTGAATGAATCTAGCCTGTGCAAAGGTGGGCCTATTTATACATAGATTTTCCCGCTTATTATTGCGGGAGAGATTTCATCGAAAATTCGAGAGACATTCGCGAAATTTGAGAAATGATTTTTCTTAATTTACAAGTAAATAACCATTAATATTAAGTTTTTAACACATGTAAATTTTACAGAATTAGTTATTTGTTGATTTTATACAATATACAATTATCGCCAATAGTGTCGTCAAAAGTTATTAACTAATAAAGTTAATTAACGTGATATTACATTATTTACAATAGAAAATTATTAAAATTTCATATAACTTTATAGTTGATTAATTTTGGAAGTATTTTCCAAAATTAATTATTTAAATTAATTAATAACATTTGAATTATGACTAATTTTTCATATTTGTAACGGTTTTCTTCTAATCTTAATATGCGATTATTAGATTAGTTATCTAAGGTTTCTAAATCATAAAATTATCATTATCAAGTATTAACTTAATATTTTCGTTTTATATATAGCTTATTATTTAAATAAATTATTAATTGTTTATTTATTAATAACAGTTGTTATTTAGCTGTTATTAATGAAACCAATTCTTACTCATGTTCCATGCTTATTCATTTTACATATAAATTATTTATATTTTTCGAATATTTCATATGTTAATAAATAAATTAACTTTACATATTGATATTCATTATTAATTTATAATTGAATGAGATATTGTGAATCTGCATGTTAAAATCTATATAATCGATACTTTGTTATATTCAAATTATCTATAATTAACATATTTTTCTCAACATTATGGATCATTATATCTATGTCTATTATTTGTGACGTCACGCTGTTTGTTTTGACTCGACTCTTATTTGTATACAGTCGCGTAAACAGTGAGGTAGCGCCGCTTAATGTATTGTTTTGACTAAACAGATAAATACGTTAGACTAGTTGCAGTCATTTAATAAACAGCTCATATATAGGACCGTTACATGGCTTTTATTATATAAGAACACTTGGTCACGTACCTCTTGAGCTATCGTTGTTTCGATCTCATCCATGTTCTGTAAAATATGTAAAAAAATATAATTAACAATATGAACATAAATTGTTAAACAAATAAATTTGTTACACCAACTGCGCTCAAGTTTTTTCACTGCACGTTTATCCACTGCACATTTTTCACTACACTTTTTTCCACTGCGCGTTTTACCACTGCACGGGGTTGGTTGAATGGCAGTGGAGGTGTGTCATTAAGCTTTGCACATATAGGAAAATTTCTATGCTGAACTATGAAATGTGATCCAGAAAAGAATGTGACTAAGCCAAACATCTTGGAAAGCGTTAAAGAAATTGTACGACAAAAGTTCATCCGTATTTTATTCTTTATAAAGTAGTTTTTTGTGTCATAATTTGTGTTATTTTATATATTTTGTTTAAAGAAGTATTTTTTGTGTGTTGTAATTTGTGTTATTTTATTTGTGTTCTTATTTTATTTGTGTTATTTTATTTGTTAAAATGGTATTTCGCCCAACCAAAGAAAATTTTAACCAAATGTTCGCATTATTTGATATTGGTCACGATAACTAATCCGTTATAAACTATTTCAACTGTTCTGAAACCACAGTGAAGAAGTGGCGAAAAAGATTCGCAGTTCAAGGCAACGGCGGCGAAGAAGCATACGACCGATGAAGGCATAACCACCAGCCTTTGAAAATTTCAAACGAAGCTTTAGGGCAAATCGTCGATCTTATGGCAGATAATCCGTTCCAGCCAGTAAAGAAGCTGCCGCAACTTTTAAATTTAAATGTGGAAGACCAAACGTTGCGTAAATCGCTAAAAAATAGAGCGAATTTGAAATACTATAAAGCTGTCAAAAAACCTGCTTTGACAGATGAAAGCAAGCGGGTGAGACTATTGTATGCCAATGCACAAGTTCATAGGATTATAGAAGAGTGGAGGTCAATCATTTTTATGGATGAAAAAATATTTTTATGTTCTAAAGATGGTATAGAATAATTTTTATTATTTGTGCACTGAGCCATTTTTAAAATAAATAATTAAATTAAATTTTATTTACAGGTAGAATCGGTGTATGGAGACCTGCGAATTCCCGCTATCACGACCAGTATATTTTATCTCAAAGGCATAGTGGCCGTTGCACTAGTGAATTTTGGGGATGGATATCTGGAGATGGACCGGGGGACTTGGTGGAAATTCAAAGGAAACTGAATGCTGAACAGTATCTGGACATTTTAAATAATTTTTTATTATCGGGTGTAATGCAGCGCTATCCAAATCAAGAGCGTATTTTTGTTGTGGAAGACAACAGCCCAATCCATACAGCTCGTGAGTTATCGCGAACGACTTCCTTGGCGAAGTAAATCGCTCTAGTTTTTGAATTTGTCCTTGATTGCTGACCTAGTTATCGTAGTTAGATTTTTTGATTTATTAGAATGATGAGAGGGAAATCACTGAACACTGTTTAAGGGAAAAAGCCGTAACGGCATAAAAAACCCTTTTTATTAAATGAAAACTGGAAATTACATTTGTGAAGATAACGCGGGATAGAGACGTCGCGCGGAGACAATGGTCGTTACCATGCACGCACTCACACGCTCTCACACAAAGAAAATTGATACACGATGAATTCACAATCACTGTCACGCATCCGAATTACAATAAAATAATAGAATGGACCACGTGAGTGGACGAGAACCTTGTATTACGTGGGTAATACAAGTGATGTTGCACGTGGGTGCACGAGAACGTTGCCGAGAACGTGAAGGCGCGAGGGAGCTCCGCACGCGAGACGATGTCGTCGACGACTGCCGGTTACACCGGCAAATTTCGCCATGCTTGGCGCGAGTGGCGCAGCGCCGTAAGGTGCTGCCACCACGCTAGGCTTAAGGCCCTAGCACCTCACACACACACACAGACACGCTTTAGCTGTGCGCGCAGCTAACTTAATTTAAAAATACATGTCTGAGTCGTATACGTATGCGTTAATACATATGTATCGTGTTGCGACGTAACATACTGCCGGCCACGGCTGCGAGACTAATTAAACCATTAATGGTCAAGCAGTGTTAGACTTAACAAGAGCTTATATTGACTAGTTGACCCATTCCTGCTCACTAATCTAGGATGGTCTTTGGTTTCTTTACATGAAGAGCCAGTTTTCGTTGAAGGGACTGGTCTCTTGATTAGCATCGATATCACAACCTGATTAATTGAAAGCTATTTTGTTTCATTTGTCTTAAACTACTAATACAACGAAACGAACGATTTACAATGTCTTAAATCTAATGAACAACTTATTCTACTTAAGATCATCCGGTGCCATAAGTTTGACACTTCGCTGATCACGCTTGTCCTAAATTAACGTTGACGAAAGGTTGGAGTCTCCGCGATTGTGGGAACCTGATTTCCGGACAGGTATCGCGCTCCAAAGATTGATTCTTTGGGCATCTGGCTGTAGAGCACTTTGTACTCTACCTTTCGCGGGCCAGGCTTCAAGCACTTCCAGAATACCCCATGGTTCGACTCGTTTATGGCAAACCAAAGAGCACACATCTGGGGCTAATCACGAATTCGGGAGGGTGACTTGAGACTCCGACGGGTCCGCGTTTTCCTGATCTACAGGGAGCACACAGAGCCGAGTAATGTTTCGTTTGTAGATTCCGGAAGCCATCTTCACCGATGCTACTCGAGCAATGCCATCGCTCCCAGGGTGGATCTCCACGACGACACCCAGCGGCCATCTTGCGCAAGCAGGGTTGTCCTCCATAGACACAACCACAGATCCAGGTGTTAATACGGTTCCGGAATTCAACCACTTCTGACGAGTTTGCAGTTCATGCAAGTACTCCTTGTGCCATTTACTCCAGAAGGCTTGTCTAGCTTTAGAGACGAGCTAGTAGGAAGTGAGGCGATTGTCCGGAACTGAAACATAATTTTGGTCGGGTAAGAAATTGAAGGAACGCCCGATCAAAAAATGAGCTGGAGTTATCGCAAGGGAATCGTTTGGGTCAGCAGAAATCGCGTACAATGGTCGAGAGTTTAACACGGCGGCGATTTCCTTTAACAATGTTTCCAATTGCTCGTACGTGAGCTTTTGGTCCTTGACGACACGATTCAGATGGTGTTTGAAACTTTTAACTGCCGCCTCCCACAAACCGCCGAAGTGCGGTAAGAGAGGTGGATTAAAGTTCCACTCAATCCGTTCGGCTGCAGCAAAAGTTTGAATCGCGTCCTTAAATTCGGGTGAATGGTGTAATTGATAAATCCTTTGCAGTTCGCTATTAGCGCCTACAAAGTTAGTACCATTGTCAGAGTACATGGTGGTCGGTTTGCCGTGCGTGGCAACGAACCGACGAAAACACGCGAGGAAGCCCTCAGCTGAGAGATCGGAAGCTACCTCGATGTGGACAGCCTTGGTGGCCATGCAAACGAAAACGGACCCATACGCCTTAAGGAAATTTCGATTTCGATCCCTTTTTTCTTTGATCATAATCGGACCAAAAAAATCTACGCCGGTCTTCGCGAAAGTGAACGCAGGGTTTACTCGAGATTCTGGAAGGTCTGCCATCTTGGCATGTGAGAATTTTGGCTTTTGCCGAAGACAGGGTACGCAGCGGCGCAAGACATGTCGAATCTGGTTTCGACCGTTGAGAATCCAAAACCTTTCGCGTATCCTGTAAAGAGTGGATTGGACCCCTCCGTGAAGATTTCGATGATGAGCATCGCGGATGATGAGATCTGACACGTGATGGTTGCTGGGTAGCAAAATAGGGTATTTTTGATTAAATTGAAGATTTGAATTCTTCAATCGACCGCCTACTCTGATCAGTCCATGCTCGTCTAAGAAGGGATTGAGTTCATCGAACTTCGTTCGACTCCTGAAAGCGCCGATGAGCTTGAAGTTTCGAACGTTCGAGTTGAACGAAAATATCAAAAATAAAAATATAAATATATAATATAAATTATCGCTTCTAAAGAACACTATAGTTGTGTAGGTGATGCAAATAATTTCATATATCGATTACACCCCTCACAACTACCCTTACAGTTGTCCATACATACCATGCTACACGTACTTATAAAATTACTAGTCGTACTTTTCTATTAGACAAAAATTAATTACTAAGAGGGACTGTTTCATAAAGTATATAAATATAGAAACGTACGAATAAAGTTTAAGCGATCGCCAACCCTTAGTCTCACCCCCACAGCAGGCTATTTAGTAAAAATAAAAAAATTTATTTATTATTTTGAGATGGTTTGTTATTAGACAAAAATTATTAACTAAAAGTGGCATATATATAAAGGATATCAATATATAGATGTGCGAAAAAAGTTTAAGCGATCGCCCGCTCTTAGTTTCACCCCCATGGCCTTATTTACAATGGAAACTCGTGATATTTACAAGTTATTTTATTCCGGTTTGTTATTAGACAAATATTTTAAATTGAAAGCGTTATGAATATAAAGTACATCCATATATAGATGTCAGAAAAAAGTTTAAGCGATCGCCCGCCCTTAGTTTCACCCCCACGGCCTTATATACCGAAGCAATAAGTGAAATTTACAAGTTATTTTATTCCGGTTTGTTATTAGACAAATATTTTAAATTGAAAGCGTTATGAATATTAAGTACATCCATATATAGATGTCTGAAAAAAGTTTAAGCGATCGCCCGCCCTTAGTTTCACCCTCATGGCCTTATATACAGAAGCAATGCGTAAAATTTACAATTTATTTTGAGATGGTTTGTTATTAGACAAAAATTATTAACTAAAAGTGGCATATATATAAAGGATATCAATATATAGATGTGCGAAAAAAGTTTAAGCGATCGCCCGCCCTTAGTTTCACCCCCACGGACATATATACAAAGGCAGTGCGTGTTATTTACAAGTTATTTTGAGATTGCTTGTTATTAGACTAAAATTTTTAACTTAAAGTGGTATATATATAAAGGATATCCATATATAGATGTGCGAAAAAAATTTAAGCGATCGCCCGCCCTTAGTTTCACCCCCATGGCCTTATTTACAATGGAAATTCCTGAAATTTACAAGTTATTTTATTCCGGTTTGTTATTAGACAAATATTTTAAATTGAAAGCGTTATGAATATTAAGTACATCCATATATAGATGTCTGAAAAAAGTTTAAGCGATCGCCTTTCCTTAGTTTCACCCTCATGGCCTTACTTACAATGGAAACGAATAAAGAAATCTTATAATTACCTCGTCTTTTGAATGCTTCTGGCCCATTTTTATTTTTCCGTCCGTGCGTCTGTTGTCAGAGTTTGGAAAGAAATGAAAATCGAGAGAGTGCGAACTATGCCATATCATGTGTTGGCGGTGTTGCGATCGTCATTTCTATTTCTCTCTCTTTCTCTCTTTCTCTCTCTCTCGCTCTCTCGTTCTCTCGTTCTCTCGCTCTCTCGTTCTCTCGCTCTCTCGCTCTCTCGCTCTCTCGTTCTCTCGCTCTCTCGCTCTCTCGTTCTCTCGCTCTCTCGCTCTCTCACTCTCTCGATTTCTCGCTCTCTCTCTCTCTCTCTCTCTCGCGTGTCGGCGCGTCTTAAGGAGATTCCCTATTGTCTGGGTCCTCAACTGCAGCTCCCGCGCATTGAAAAAATGTGATATTGGTTATTATAATATTTCAAATTTCATAACAAACTTTCGTCGATTGAAGCTATGTATTTTGTAATTTTTACATCCTACCCGTTTGGCGATTCGTTTTCAAATGACTTGTAGAAACAAAAAAGCGCGTGTCGTTCGGTCTTTCTTCTTCTCATTTCCTTCTTCCCTTCATTCTTCACATTAAATATACCTGTTGATTTTCACGAATTTAATTCCTTATCGCAAACATCCAAAACAAATGACGCTTATCGCTCTTTCATCTAACGGCACTTCTCTCACAAGGATTAGTCGAGTAGTTGACTTTGAACAGCTAACATCGAATATCCAGTTTTGTCACAGTGTCATTATATTGTGATTTTTTAAAGAAATACGTGATTTAGAAGAAATATTTAGTTAATTTTTAAATATCATTTATTATTTTAATTAGATTATTTTACAAGTGTAGAATATTACATTATTTGGAAAAATGAATAAGCAAACTGTACTTCGTGTCGCTGCAATTATTGCAGATAATATAAATAATATAAACGAAGTAAATCTTCAATTATCTCGCCCTCACTCATTAAGTCGAAAGGTATTTTTCTTATTTTTAATATAGTATATATTCTATATATGACTCATTTTAATGCGAAAATGTCTCCAATGACTTTTTTAAAAAAAGCATATTTCACAAGTTAGTGATATTGAAAGGTCGATAAGCCCATTAGTTCTACTAAATTTGCTCGGTTATAACTTTTTTATTATTGAAATTTTTTGTTGAATTAAAAATGATAGGGAATAAAATTGCAAGAAATTGTTTTACGATTGCAATGAAAGCGTAAAATCTTATACAAGTGATTCTTTTATTTTAAAATAAATGTGTCTTCAATTGATCTTGACTTTATGCAGTCATCGGCTCACGTTATTGATTGAAATGTATATGAAACCTGGAATCTTTAGTCAAAATTAAACTTAATAAGTTAAAAGAGCAATTTTCATTGAGCTCATGCAATAATTTTCAACCTTTCATTGAACACAGATTTATAGTCTTTTTTATTCTACACGACAAAATCTACGGTGTAAATCGATAATTAAAATGTCAAAGGAAGTTGTAGGCATATATTTATTGCAAAAGAAAGAATTACTTTTGTAAGAGTTTGGAATTTCAGATCAAATAAATGGGTAATTTTCAAGTAATTTTCATGCACTCAATGTAAAGTCAATTTTTTGTTAATACCAGTCTTCAGAAATGTTGTTATGTCCACTTAGATTAATATTTAGACAGAAGTTTGAGAAACTATCCTTTTGCATTGGTTGTCATCTTTGACAAAAGTCCTGTAGATAATGAAAGAGCCTGAAGCATTTTTAGCTTTTAAAAAGTTGAGTTGACGTAATTTTTTTTAAGCAACAGGCTCCTCTTGCACTCTCATTATTGTCAGGACTTTAGTCAAAGATGACAATCAATGCAAAGGGATAGCTTCTCAATTTTCTGCCTCTAAATATTAATCCATGTGGACAAAATAACATATCCCACCAAACTTCATAATGAAAAAATTTTTATTATCACTCTGATCAATATTAAGAAGCAGAAAATAGGAGAAGCTATTCCTCTGCATTGAATGTAATCTCTGACAATAGTCCTGACAGTAGTCAGAGTGCAAGATGGGCCTGACGCTTCAAAAAAGTTACGTCCACTCAACTTTTTAAAAGCAAACAAAACTTGTAGCTGCTTCATTATTCACAGGACATTAGTCAGAGGTGAAAATCAATGCAAAGGAATAATTTCTCAATTTTATCCTTCTAAATATTGATCTAAGTGGACATAACAACATATTTCTCAAAACTGAATACTGAAAAAATTTTTATTATTACCCTGACCAATATTGGGAAGCAGGAAAATTGAAAAGCTATCCCTTTGCATTGGTTGTCATCTTTGACAAAAGTCCTGTACGTAATGAAAGAGCCTGAAGCATTTTAAGCTTTTAAAAAGTTGAGTTGACGTAATTTTTTTTAAGCAACAGGCTCCTCTTGCACTGTCATTATTGTCAGGACTTTAGTCAAAGATGACAATCAATGCAAAGGGATAGCTTCTGAATTTTCTGCCTCTAAATATTAATCCATGTGGACAAAATAACATATCCCTCCAAACTTCATAATGAAAAAATTTTTATTATCACTCTGACCAATATTAAGAAGCAGAAATACGAGAAGCTATCCCTCAAGAGCTTACGATTTTTTTGCAATCGTAAGAGACAATTTCATGCAATTTCATTCCCTATAATCATTTTTAATTCAACACATGTTGAAATTTACATCGAGGTAAGTCTGATTCTTTTGGGACAGATCTCTTATTATAGTAGACGTCAAACAAATCTCTGCTTATCGGTCAATTTCAAATTTACGAAAACAAAGGTTCCGCGAAGATTGAAATGCGTCAAGTATAGCACAGCCCCTCCCCCCACACGCGCTATTCGTTTCATTTTTTATAGTGAAGTCATATTCATCGCTACTCTCAACGCGTCCAGACGTGCTGAAACTCTGCGATGGGAGGACAAAGCCAGTCGTCGTTGAAGGTAATTAAAATTATATCATCATATGAATAATTTTTTTTATAATAATATTTCAATTCTTTGATTAATTTTCAGGAGGAAGATGTGGAGGAAATATTCTCAAAATCACCACCGAATGACATTCAGCCGTTGCCGCCGCCAAGTAGTGAAGAACCGTTGTCGCCGCCAAGTAATGAAGAACCGTTGTCGCTGCCCAATCATAATGAACAAGTGGTCCACCTGCCGATTCCAATGGCCCATTGGAATGGGCCATATGAAAATAACCCGCCCATTCCATTGGGTCGTTGGAATGGACAAAATAATAGACGTGGGCGATGGCAGCATGGTCGACAACCGTAAGTACTGTTTCTCTCTCTCTCTCTCTCTCTCACACACACTCTCTCTCCTCTCTCTCTCTCTCACACACTCTCTCTCACACTCTCTCTCTCCCTCTCTCGCTCTCTCTATTCCGGGGCAATCATCGTTAAAATTGTAACAGGTGCGAGCTAATGATTTTTATTGCAAAGGGGAAAAAAAGTCCAACTGAGCTTTGAGTATGTAGATCGGTACACTGGGACGGTGCAATCGAGTCATCTGTAGTTTTACTTCTGGAATAGTCGCTTTATAGTTTTTCAAACTGTCTAGACATTCCTTATTTCACATTCGTGCAATTTTGCTCATTAAATATTTTCTTATATCAGTACAAGACGTAACCATACAACAAATTCGAGTGGCAACCGATCAACTTTTTCAATCCTAAAAGTAATAGTATGTAACGGTCCTATATATGAGCTGTTTATTAAATGACTGCAACTAGTCTAACGTATTTATCTGTTTAGTCAAAACAATACATTAAGCGGCGCTACCTCACTGTTTACGCGACTGTATACAAATAAGAGTCGAGTCAAAACAAACAGCGTGACGTCACAAATAATAGACATAGATATAATGATCCATAATGTTGAGAAAAATATGTTAATTATAGATAATTTGAATATAACAAAGTATCGATTATATAGATTTTAACATGCAGATTCACAATATCTCATTCAATTATAAATTAATAATGAATATCAATATGTAAAGTTAATTTATTTATTAACATATGAAATGTTCGAAAAATATAAATAATTTATATGTAAAATGAATAAGCATGGAACATGAGTAAGAATTGGTTTCATTAATAACAGCTAAATAACAACTGTTATTAATAAATAAACAATTAATAATTTATTTAAATAATAAGCTATATATAAAACGAAAATATTAAGTTAATACTTGATAATGATAATTTTATGATTTAGAAACCTTAGATAACTAATCTAATAATCGCATATTAAGATTAGAAGAAAACCGTTACAAATATGAAAAATTAGTCATAATTCAAATGTTATTAATTAATTTAAATAATTAATTTTGGAAAATACTTCCAAAATTAATCAACTATAAAGTTATATGAAATTTTAATAATTTTCTATTGTAAATAATGTAATATCACGTTAATTAACTTTATTAGTTAATAACTTTTGACGACACTATTGGCGATAATTGTATATTGTATAAAATCAACAAATAACTAATTCTGTAAAATTTACATGTGTTAAAAACTTAATATTAATGGTTATTTACTTGTAAATTAAGAAAAATCATTTCTCAAAATTCGCGAATGTCTCTTGAATTTTCGATGAAATCTCTCCTGCAATAATAAGCGGGAAAATCTATGTATAAATAGGCCCACCTTTGCACAGACTAGATTCATTCACTTCTAGCCTTGCAAGGTGAGCGCATGAGTCTGAATAAACTTGGATTAATACCTAAGTTCTTTCTCTCATTGTGATTAACTAAGCAAGACTAACCTTTCCTTATAATTTGAGCTCGACTTATAGAACATCTCGCGCTATAAGAAACTTGGGCCGAATTATATCCTATCAAAGAAAGACTTTAGCTTTGCTTATGGGACAATTCGCACCATAAGAAACTAGGGCATTGTCTGACTTTCCTCGATATATTGCAATTACTTATGTATATTTGATCTACTTATTTATTATACTTGATTCATTTATCTATTTTCTTGACAATTAGAGTAAAATCATTGGAAACAAATTCTTACTCATTAGCTAGATTACGAGAGTTCGAATTATTTTATTTATAAGTGATACGAACATCACAAGTAGCATAGATGTAAGTGACGGAGTGTAATAGTTCAAACATTTTATCAAAAGTATTCAATGCACACCTCTCTCTCCCTCTCTCTGGTAAGCATCACAGCATCTTTTCAACGGCTCTTCGACAAATTTAGTTTATCTAATCATCTGGCATCACACCTTCGAGCAAACTGTTCCAGGTAGTGCATCTTCCACGGGGCTAACAAGTGTACGCTGTTTCATGCATAATTATTTGCATTCTGCCCTGGAATTTGCATTACTTGTGCAACCAGCATCACCTAACCTCTTTCACCTGGATCAACACTGCATACGTCTCTCTACTAACAGAATCAATTGCTGAATCACAATTGCACCAGGACATCTCATCACCTACCTGGCCGTTCTAGCTCTACCAACAACGAATATCATCGCTAGAACAACTATTTTCTCGTCGGTTAAGTGAGGAATATTTTGTCCTACCTACATTTTGCGACTACTCTGTATTGTTCATTTTTCTTTTATTATTTGTTATTACTGCGAACCTGTAATCGATCATTTTAATTGTTAAGACTACATCTCACCTCGATTCATCTAGTGTAATTCACATCTTCATCTTTATTGTTATTTTCATAATCATTCATTTTAATCTTAAGTTGTAACGTATATTTAAGTCGGGTTGCGTCATCTTGCGAATTTTCCGCGCCAAATTTTCCCCCTAATTTCTATTTCGCGTTCCGCATTACTGTGAGCATCATCTTCGCGCGCATTTTGAATTTCCCGCCACACCCTCTGTGATAATTCGCTTTTCCTCGGTAGAGGTCACTCTACCGAGTTTATCATAGCTGGTTGGTTGCGTGCGCATCCGCGCCACTTGAATTTGCGCGCGAACATTCAAATTATTATAGACACTTCATTTCTTTCTAAACCTATCTCGCCTATTTATGTCAAGCCGCGTGTGTGCCAAGTGCGGATTGATCGTGCGACGACCTGATCAACTCCTCCTCTGCAACTCCTGTAATTCCCTGTACCACAACTGTTGCATTTCACCCAATTCAAGACCAGCCAATCACAACTCTGCAGAATTTAACTGCTGCCTCAACCGCTCGCCGAACGTTGATACTACTTTAGCCAATACCGTCTTGGATATCTTCGCTACGCCAAAAGGACACTCCCCCTCCATTATCACACACGCCAGGAAACGTCTAGCCTCACCAACTCAGCCATCACCGCTGCCGATCACCAAAGCCTGCAGATCTGAGCTACCTCCGACTACAGGTCGGAACTCCGATTATTCGGCAATGTCTGAGGCACCTGAGTGGTTCCGCAGGGAGTCGCAGCTTAACGCGGAGCGGCATGCGAGGGAAGCTCAACTCAATTCTGAGCGCTTTGAGAAACTTTGCGGACTCTGGACTAAAACGCAGGATGAGTTTCGCGAGCGTGACGTCCATTTCGCAATAGTCGACGAGCCTGAAATCTTGGTCCAAGGGTTACCAGCGGAATTTCAAGGTTCCCTCTTCCAGGCCGCTACTTCTGTCCTCATTGCGCTGGGCTTTGGTGGAGAGCACAACCTCCCTGCGATTATTGCGACAAGGGAGTGGAATCCCACCGCTGCCACTCGCTCTACTGCGCCCACAGATCAGTCGCAGTCCTTCTCTCACTCGACCCAAGGTGCACGAAGGAAGTCCTTCACCTTCCTGCTGGATTCGCCATCCTCTCGGGACAGAATAATCAAGCTTTCGTCCAGACTGAAGGAGCATACTGCCTAGACGATCTTTGGCTGTGGAGGTGGTTTACGAGTACTACTGCGTCCAATCTACCCCAAGCCTGTCTTCGAGCTGCTATCCAAGGCCAGAAAAGTGAGTGATGACCTCGGATACGCGTGGCCTGTGGTGCGAAACTTGCGGGTCTTCTGCCGCGCCACGCCGCAATCGGAGCTCATCCCTATTGTCTCTGAGGCTGACCTACGTGGTTTGCCGAGGCTGGCATCTCGCCAACCAGTCGCATGCTCGGCGGGAGCCCCAGGCCACCCTCACCCTTCGGCCGCGCCTTCCGCTCCTCTTACCGGTGCCCGTCACGATCTCCGATTCCCTCGCTTTGATCTTCATATCCGACCGGCTGCAAATACACCAAGCTTCACTTTATCTGCCTCTTCTTCTCAGTCGCCAACCCGTAACCCAGCTCAAACTTCATGACATTCAACGGTCCCACTAAATAATTCTGTTACCACCTCCATCCCATCTCGATCTTCCCTCACCGTTGCGCACATCAACATAAACGGCCTAAACATACCGTGGCATTTCTCTCTCCTAGAAGCACAGGCACATACAAGTTCATATGACATTATTGCCATCTCCGAAACCAAACTTTGTAATGTCATCTCTGATGACCACCTCGTACTAGCCAATTACAATTTTTTCCGACTGGATCGCGAGGGCAAGGAGGGTGGTGGAGTTGGCTTCTATTGCCGCAATAGTTTGACAGTAAAATTACTCGCTGCCTCTGATCCCACGTTTAACAACTCACCTGAATTCATGATAGCCGAAATTTAAAATAAAAGCCACCTAAAACTTTTATTTGCAATTGTCTACCGCCGCCCATCCGCCAAAATCCCATCATTTTTCTTCAACACCATCTCTTCCTTTCTTCCTCTCTTCAATGATGTCATTATGACTGGTGATTTCAACTCCGACCTTACATCACATCTTCCACACGTCCTGGCATTGCGCGATCTCATCGATTCACACGCACTTAGGGTTGTCTCCACCGAGCCTACACACCATCCCATTACTGAGAGTGGAGTGACCACACATACAGCGCTGGATCTTTTCATAACAAATCTCTCAACTCACATCCTTAGTTTCACCAAATCTCTCTCCCCATTTGTACCTTATCATGACCTAATTGAGCTTTCCATACTTTTTTCCTCGCCCCAAGAACAACCTAAAACCTTTGCCTCCCGCTCTCTCCATCGTCTTGATAAATCTGTCCTGAACTCTCTTATCACCACCAAGCTCTCGGTCTCCCAGGATTACCTGGGTGATTCTCTTCGTCGAGACACTCCCTCAGTTGATCAACTTGAGCGAACTTTCACCCTTGCGGTTTGTGGAGCTATTGACGAACTAGCCCCTTCTCGTCTGGTTACCATCTCCTCCAAAAAGAAGCCGTGGGTGACTGATAAGCTGCGTGTCCAAATGCGGATCCGTGACGCAGCCTACAAACGCTTTCGAGCCTCCAACTCATCCTTAGCCCTTCAACAAGATCGCTCCCTAAGAACTGCCATTTCAAACGAGCTCGATACTGGGAAAAATAACCATATCCGTCATAATATTGAACACGCCAATAGCTCCAAATCCAAGTGGAGGACTCTCCATGACATCGGCCTAACCAATCGACTTCTGCCGTCACCACTGCTCTTTTTCTTAGCTGACGAACTCAATAAATACTTTGCTACAGTTGTTAACAGATCTCCAGCCCTAACCCTCACTACATTTAACAATATCTGCAGTTCCCCCTTGCATTTGACCTTTACTTTTCCTCCTTTTGTCTTTTCAAAAATTAAACAAGCTGATGTTGAGAGCGAGATCAGGGTGTTGCGTTCTAGGGGCAGGGGTTGTGATGGACTTACGGGAGGGATGCTTCTCCTTGGACTTGACACCGTAGCTTGCAACCTTACTGATATATATAACAAGTCCATTGAAACATCTACTTTCCCAGCCACGTGGAAGCGCACCCTTATTCGTCCTCTTTCTAAGGTCAGATCACCCCAGTCTCCTTCTGATACTAGGCCCATAGCACAGTTGTCTGAACCTTCAAAAATCCTTGAACGAATATTGCACCGACAATTCTCTGACCACTTGGAAGCTAATGACCTTCTGGATCCCAGACAGGCTGGTTTCCGTAAGGGACACTCTACTGAGACTGCTTTAGTGGGCGTCCTTGACGACATGAGGTTTGCCATTGATAGGAGGCAAATTACCATCCTTGTCCTTTTTGATTTCTCAAAGGCCTTCGACGGAATTCCACATGACTTGCTTATTAATAAGATCAGAGCTTGTCACGTTGGTGACTCCGTCTTACGATGGTTCTTTAGCTATCTTGTCGACAGGGTGCAAGCTGTCATTGACCATGGGGACACTGTTTCGCGGTGGGAGCGTGCCCGGACGGGTGTCCCGCAGGGAAGCGTCCTTGGTCCGCTACTGTTTGCCATCTTCATTAATGACCTCCCACGAGTTCTTTTTTTCTGCAAGCATCTAATTTACGCTGATGATACTCAGATTTACCATCACTGCGTCCCTTCCTAGATTGTTGAGGGGCTTGAGAAGGTCCAATTAGATGCACAGGCGGTGGCGGACTGGGCGCGAGCGAACGGTCTCCAACTCAACGTCGCCAAAACAAAGGTCATGATCGTTAGTAGCGAACTTCACGTCCTCGCTATTGACCTAAACTCGTTGTCCAGGCTCAAGATTGATGATGTTGAGATTCCATTCTCATCATCGGTCAAAAGCCTTGGACTTACTATCACCTCGACCCTTCAATGGAAACCCCACATCTCCGACATTGTTAAGAGAGTTCACCTTGGTCTAAATTCCCTTAAATTTTACAGAAAATCACTCACCATTGAAACAAGGAAATACCTGGTTCAAACTTTGATCTTTCCCCACTTTTCTTACGCCTCCATAGCCTTCATGCACCTTGATAAGTCCAGAACCCTGGCCCTTCAAACAGCTTTCAATGCCTGTGTCCGATTTATCACAGGCTTTATACCTTTCATCCCCACACCAAACATTGACTCCCATGTGTCCTTCCATAGATTGCGTCTGGGCTGGCTATCTCTTGAGAATCAGCGCAACATCTCTCTCATCCTTCGTATATACAAAACCGTATGCTGTCAACACCCGTGCTACCTTACGACTTATGTCAAAACCCCAAATCCTCCTAATCTTAAGCACTCCTCCCGCAATCCCCCGATGGCCTTCTCCTATCCCGCTCCAAGAACTAAGGCTTGGAGGTTCTCGGCGGCGGCCTATGGCATGTATCTTCTCAACCAGCTGGCCATAACTGAGTTTGATATTACTCGCTATGTAGAGCTCAGGCGCTGGCTCTATGACTATTTTATGGTGATCGAACAGCTCCTTTTTCGCCATAGGGTGAACGCCGAACACCTCACAAATCTTCCCTTGCTCCTGAAACTTCCTTCTATCCCTCTTCCTTTCAACGTCTCCGCCTTCACTTCCTCATCAGAGTACCTCCTATCACCTGGTCGCTACCTGGTCTGTAATTTTCCCCCATTCAATTCCAAGTTGTAACACCGACCAACACTTCCACCCTGATCCACAATCTACCTTCACTGTCACTTCGTCATCTCTCCAGGCCTTACGAGTTAGTTCTTAGTCTTGAATCTGCTTGACCACCATGCTTGTTAACTTGTTTGCTGGCTCCAATTACCCTCTTTGGCCGGTGATTTTATTTAGTGTTTATTCTGGCCTCTTCAGCATAACGTACTGTGTTATGCTTGCCTGTTCACCACTAGTCACTTAAGTTCATCACATCCCATTTAGTACGCCCTGCTCTGTGATCTCATCTATCTTGTCACCTAACCTATTGTCAATCAATATATCTCTATTCTTTCCATCTCATGCGAATATTGTATCATTTATTGCTATGTATGCTTCATAATCTCACACTCATACTCCTTAATTATATTGTTTAACTTATGTTCATCTTAAATTAATATTTATTTGTATAACTTTATCGCTTATTACTGCGCTCTAATTTAATGTATCTGCATTGTATTCTGCTCATAGCTTACGGGGTTATACCCCACGGCTTAATAAAGCTTATTCTATTCTATTCTATTCTCTCTCTCACACTCTCTCTCACACACACTCTCTCTCTTTAAATCACATACATCAAATAAAAGTGTCGATGAAACGGAGTTTATAATAGCAGAGCTTTCATTATCTAGCAATGAACGGTTCCTGGTAGCATCGGTATATAGACACCCAAATGGCCACGTTTTGAACAATTTCTTCCATATTTTCAGTCTTTACTCTCATAAATACGCAAATTTAATTATCATGGAAGATTTGAACTCGAATTTAATGGGCTCTACATATTACAGTAGGTCATTAAAGGACCTTATAAATAATTATAATCTCTTCAACGTTCCATTTGGCCCGACATACCATATCACTGCAGCCGGCACATGGCTCGACGTTATTTTAACTGACTCAAGTCAGAAAATCGAGCATTTCGAAAAATCTGATGCGCCTTTCATCTCCAACCATGATTATCTGATTATTGACTATAAAGTCAAATCCAGAAAATTGCTTCCGGTTCTTAAGAGAACTCGTGACTTTAGAAACTTTGAATCGGGCGTATATGCATCGGAGTTGATAGCAGGGTTGGAAGCTACAGAATTCGACGCTGTGGTCAAGTATGATCCGTGTCTATCACTTGATATTTTTCGAAACCTTGATGTCACTCTGCTGGATCGCTATGCTCCATTGACGCAGCGAACGGTCAGGAAATGTCCTGCTCCTTGGTTCAATAATATGTTAAAAGAACGATCCAAAACTATAAATAAATTATATACTAGGGCAATCCGAGCAAACAGCAATAGCATCTTGGCTAATTTTAGGCGGAGTCGTAGGGGGTTGAAGCGAGACGTAGCTCGAGCCAGAGACAAATTCATTACTGAACATATAAACATGACTAGTTGCGTCTCTGTGAAGTGGTCGTTGCTAAGTAAGATTGGCATTACGGGAGCGCGTTCAAATTCGCCTTTGACCCAATTTAATGCAGCCAAATTAAATAGCTATTATGCCTCTGCTGCAACGGCTCATCCTCTGTGCACCGAGGATGATCTAAATTCCATTTTGACCATTCCGTTAATGAATGATCAACAGGTCTTCGATATGCTGCCCCTATCGTATCACGAGGTTCTTCAGTCTTCACTGGCTAGCATTTCGAAGGCCAAAGGGGCCAGCTATGACGGCTTATCAATTGTCTATTTTAGGGATATCCTACCGGTGATCTCCAAATTTATGACGGATATTTTTAATACGTCGCTTGCTACTTCATGCTATCCCGACACTTGGAAAAGGGCCACAATTATTCCTCTAAAAAAGGTACCTAAGCCCACTACCGAGTCAGATACACGCCCGATCTCGAACCTGTCCTATTTCGCTAAAGTTTTTGACAAATTAGTCACTAACAAATTGATCCAATTCCTGGAAGCGAATATGCTGCTGTCAAATTCCCAATCAGGGTTTCGGAAGCACCATAGTACACAAACAGCATTGTTGAGATTGACTGACGACATTAGGCGAGGAATTGATAGGGAGATGGTCACCCTGTTAGTCCTCTTTGACTTCAGGAAGGCCTTCGACTCTGTCAGCCACGTCATCTTGCTGAAATCGATGCGTTTGTTGAACTGTTCCGATCGATTTATCACTTGGTTCCACTCATACTTGACCGGTTGATCTCAAGCGGTTATTGACCTAAATGGTGAACTCACCGAGTTTCTCGACCTCACTTCGGGCATACCGCAGGGATCCAGTCCCGGTCCTATAGCATTCTTAATACTCATCAATGGTATCATAAATTGCCTAAAGCACTGCAAGGATACGGCTATCCTATTTGCTGACGACTTCCAGATCTACTTGCAGTGCAAGAGGACCGAGATACCTTCTTGTGTTGAGCGGCTAAATGAGGACATTAGGTTAGT